AAACAGTCACCCCTTTCTATGTGAAACTCATATTAATTGAACCATGTGGATTTTTCCTCCAGAAAAAGCAACTGGAAAGCCAGATCAGTTTATTCACCATTTGATGACAACAGGTGCCCTTCTTTATCTTTAAAAGGGCTGATTTAAAACACGGTCCCTAAATAATTGTTCAATGCAGAGGGGGAGGTTTTAAGATGCTTGGCTATTAAAGTTGAAGTATATGAAACTATCAGTCAGTTACTAATGTCCTAAAAAAATGACAATTTCATATGCTTCAAACTAATATTTAAGAAGAGAATAAAACTGCAAAAGAACAAAATGCTGGTAAGAAAAATGACAGATGAGATTGGTCATCTCTTCAAAATGAAAATATTTTTTAAAAGAACTTAAAAGCAATTAATAGAGCAAAGATAAATATTTATAACTGCAAAGTTGACTAAATTTTCTATATGTCTATTTTAAAAGACATCTCACAATAGCGTTACAGTATGTTTTAATTTGTGTATTTCATTAACTGAAGTACACAAAATATTTTTTAAGTGACAAAGGAAAGGAAAGCAATAATAAAATTTTGCTCTACAGTCCAACTAGACAATGGAACTTAGCCTCTTCATTCTATCACACGTTTTCCAAGATACTTATTTTGTGTTCAAAATTAGTCTAGAAATGTTCCATTCTGATGCTACGTTCTCTCAAACTGCATTCTCACATTCTACATTAGAACATTCTCTAAACAGTTTCTGTTAAAATTAACTACATAAAAATGTCTATTTGTGTGGAAGTTTTAACAAATGTACCTTTGTAAATTAAATATAAATCCGACTGAAACTGAACAGAAACCAAAATTAATTTCATCAAATTTAGATATATTATTACTTTCTTTAGAATGCAGAAGAATACAATCCCCATAAGAATCTTTCACAGTGTTCTGAACCTACCTGTGCCAGTATTATAACGGCTCATTCGTAAAACAATTTATTAAGGATAACTTACAGCTTTACAGTATCACAAGATTCTTTATCCTAATCTGCAAAATAAGCATCTACTTAAAATAGGTTTCTACTAGAATAAAAAGGCCTTCTAGCAGTAATCATGAGGATTGTAAATGTGTGTATAACCCTCAGTAACACTCCTGAAAATTGGAGAGATTATTCACATTTGCTCTAAAGAACAAAAAAGAGAGCTAAATGCCACTCTAAACATTAAGCAAAAGTGAGGCTCCACAAGGATACATAACTCCCATTATTTCTGTCAAAGTTCTTTTGTGTACATAGACATCTAAATCATGCAAGATTGGATTTTTCATTTAAAGGTAAGAGGCAGAGAAATCTCAAAAGTGCTTTGCCTTCTGAGACAGATTCTACTCAAAGCATATTCTGCCACTGATGGGTAATACTCATATTTTATGAACGCAAAGAGGCTTTTTATGAGTTGACTTTGTATTTTGTAACTTTGGAAAGTTACTCTTGTAAGCTGTAGCCTCGTTTTCCCCTGACCTTGAGGACCCGTTACTGTTTCACATTCATATTTATGAAACGGTGCCACTCTATGTCCTGGACTGGCTTTCAACCACAAATGCTAAAATAATTGGTAAAACAGAACTGTTTTATTAAAATGATACATTTCATCGTTCTGCAACATGATATAGAAATGTATCATCTGAAATCAGAGCAGATTTCTTTCAATTCTGTAGCAGGTGATGCAGAGTTTCTAAATAGAAAAGTATAGAGTTATATTTTATAACATTTTTTTTAGTTCCTACTTATTAGTATTTAATATTGTATTTTTATTTTAGAATACAATTATCTTTAATATTTAAAATATGAATATTAAATTTAAACAACTCCAAGATTCATTGAGAGTGACTACCTCTCGATAAATCTGAGACATAAAAATTGCTTGTCTCATAGTCTAGTGGAGTATCTGATGGAATGCCAGCACTAAAACATTTTTGTTGACTGTCATCTCAGAATCTTTATATGCACTTTAGTGTTAGTATTTTATCATATAAAATAGAAATGCACTACCATTCTTCATCTATTTTACAACTTTTTCTCACTGATGATATCTTCCAACTTTGAATAGTTGTAAAACTTGTGCTAACTGGTTTGTCTGCTTATGGAAACTTTCCTTAATGTGGACTTGAGACCATTTGAGTAAAATAGAACCTGAAATTCAAGACTCATCATTATCATTTGTGAAATTATTTGAATATTCTCACTATGTTAAAGATTTATAAACACTTCAAACCATGTGAATAGTCTAAGATTTTTATGGTAATATGGCTTTTTAAAAAATTGCTTTAGAAGCTGGCCCCATGGCATGGTGGTACATTTGGCATGCTCCACTTTGGTGGCCCAGGTTTGTGTGTTCAGATCCCCAGCACAGACTACACCACTTGTAAGCCATGCTGTGGCAGTGACCCACATATTAAGTGGAGGAGGACTGGCAACAGATGTTAGCTCAGGTCAAATCTTCTTCAGGAAAAAAGTAAAAGTAAAAATAAAAATCGTGGAGCAGGCCCCATGGCATAGAGGTTAAGTTCAACGTGCTCTGCTTCAGTGGCCTGGGTTCACAGGTTCGGATCCTGGGTGCAGACCTACACCACACATCAGCCATGCTGTGGTGGCAACCTACATATAAAGTGGAGGAAGATTGGCACAGATGTTAGCACAGGTCTAATCTTCCTCCAGCAAAAAGAGAGGAAGATTGGCAGCAGATGTTATGTTAACCAAGGGCTAATCTTCCTCAGAAAAAAAAAAGAAAAAAAATTGCTGTATCATTTATATATATATTTCTCATTCTGAACTTCCATGAAAATTATTGCATGATTCCAAAGCAAAATAAACCTACAAAATTTTGGAAGGCATTTGTATTAAAAAGGAGGAAAATTGTCAAGGGAGGATTAGCAACAGTAACCTGAAATTAAACATAAAATGCTATGAGTTCATAAGAAAGCAGAGTAAATGTCTAGAAATTTATGAAAAATGCCAAAGTCTATCAAATAAATGTAATAATAAATATTATATAAAATAATGTAGAGGTAATGCTATAGAATTTCCATCCCAACTTTTCATTTATAGATTTAAAAATCCAATATCAATTAAATGCTAAACAGTAAAAACAAATACAAAAATTTATCTCATAATAATATGTACAAGAAACAGAAGATTTTTGAAGTTATGCTATTTATGCATCTGTATTTCTCATTGAAGCTTCAACCCCAATTTTGAAACACACGACAGTTATTCTGAAACTTTGCTTTGCACAAAAATTCCACATAGGTTTTGTTGAAATGGGGATTCGAGTATGTCTGGATGGCTCTGAGATTCTGCATTTTTAATAAGCTTCCATGTGATGCTGATGTTTCTGGTCTGTGGACCACACTTTGAGTAGAAGGATCTATGCCATCTGTGGAAAAGTAAGTTGGATTTCTTTAAAGTTGCTGACTCTGCAGATTGCGAGGATAGTTTCAAGTTTCTGATTTTCCCTCTAACTAATACATGGAGAATAACAGGTGTTTGTGAAACTCAAATACTCAGCTACCTATCTTTCCTGACCAGGAAGTTTGAAACAAGCTTGTGAGCAAGTGTGTGCGTGTGCACCCGTGTTTGTGTGTGTGTACCCACTGCACAGTAGTACCTCCATACTTGCATTAAGGGAACTGTGTCAGCAGCTCTCCTGTGACTATCCTCAATTTGAACTTGCATTCGTCTAAGCACACAAAGTTTAGAGAATTGTCAGGTTCAAATATACCCTGTCTATGAGGTTAAGCCCCAGCTTATTTCACACATTTCAACATTTCCCATGTGGATGCTGTTAAGGTTGCCTGGAATTTGGAGATAAGCCCAGGATTAGTCCTGCTTTAAAGTCATCATGAAGCCTTGTTATAGGCCTCAAGTTAAGTTGTTAAATGTATTTCTGAAAGCTTACTGGAAAAAAAATCACATTCACTAACTTTGGTAAGCTTCAGATACCAAAAAACAGTGTTGCTGTTGAAAACTTACCTGCAGGCCTGTACTTTCATGTTTTTATGGACGGTAAGCTTATGTTCTGAGGCTAAAACAACATTCTGTTTACCAAGCTCGCTTTAGAAAAAATATCTAAACTGAGAACAGTTGGATGGGATAGGCACTTTTTTTTTTTTTAAGAAAAGCACTTTGATAACTGGGTCAACTCTATTCAAGCAGGTTATTTAAAATCACTTTGCAACACTTATAATTATTCTATAATTATAAAACATTTTTGTATTTTTTCTCTTGCATGAAACCAACTATTACAGAATTTGCCCATCATTATAATGTTTACAAGTTTCTGAACTATGATTTCAAGCAATATTACACTTGTGCTATTAACATGGCTAACATATTGGCTTTCCTTTTTTTTTCCTTTTGCCTGTGTAGCTATTCTATTGACCTGGAGGACATACAACATGAGACAGCCATATTTAATTCAGTCTCATCAAAGTTGTGTTGCCTTTGGCCAAAGGACTTTGCAGAATATCTAGGAGAGCCATAGTGTAAAGGTGTTAAGATGCGTACTGAATCAAATCGGAATTGACATATATTTCTGAAAATAAATATAAAGTGTAGCATTTCAGAAATAATTTTCTAAAGGAAGCCAAAAAACCTCTATATCTTCCTGTACTTTAAAATTTTCCTAGCTTACTTAATTTGACTATTTTTGGTAGGGGGGGAAGAGGAAGATTGTCCCTGAGCTAACATCTGTGCCAATCCTCTATTTTATGTGGGATGCCACCACAGCATGGCTTGACGAGTGGTGCTAGATCCACGCCTGGGATCTGAACCTGCAAACCCTGGGCTGCCGAAGCAGAGTGCACACACTTAACCACAACACCACCGGGCCAGCCCCCTTAACTTGATTTTTAAAGAATTGGTGAAAAAGACTCTACACATTACAGGCTTATGATTTCTTGTTTGTCCAAAAAAAAGTATAAGTATTCTTTAAAGTATAAAATATAATAGCTTTTAACAGCATGGCTATAGATAATATCAGAATAAAAAGGAGCAGAAAAAACTTCTTTGTCTTAGAGGCCCTGTAAACAAAATATGCCTTGAGATATATCCCTTTTCTTGTAATAGTGAAAATAATCTTGTAAGGACTTTTGATAAACACTCATGTAAGGCCATTCATATAATTTAGGTAGGCAACATGCTCTATCTAGCCTCCTTTTGGTGAAACTCTAGAATTGATTCTTTTTTCATTATCTGTAGTAAATTACCTGCTTATTGGCAAAACTGAAGATTTCTTAAATGTTAAAGCAGTCCTAAGTTTTCCAACATGTTGTGAATTCCCACAATTTGTCTTCACATGCCCTCTGACTTCTGTTGCTTCTGGAGATGACAGATAGACAGATAGATAGATAGACAGATTCTTGTGGAGTAGATTTGATTAAATTGAGAAGATCTCCTCAAAAAAGTGTGGGGACTATTTATATCACAGTAGCACGGTAGTATTTGGTGAGTTGAGAGCAATCCTTCTATTGAGTAGTGCATTCATTATTGTACCATCCTCGGCAGCTCTCCATCATAACTTCTCCTTGAGGAGTTACTTAGATAACTAAGGAGTTACTTATTCCCATTTCGATAAAAAAATCTGAGACACAGAGGTTAATTTATGCAACGTCGTACAGTTAATGGTTGGTGTTGGGAGTCTAGCCTGTGTTTGTCATGTTAATTTTCTATACTTCCCATATTTCAGAAAGCAGGAGTGATGTTTCTTAGATTCACCTAAATCCCAATATTTTATCAGATGAGATTTTGTCAACTGAAACAAAAATTTGGTAGAAGGGTTTCTCTTATTTCATGCAACTTTAGAACTATGATGTATTCTAAAAGATTATAGAAGTATTTTTATCACTGATTTCTTTCAAAGTTTACTTTTACACATTTCAACAGGGTAATATAATGAAAAGCAGTATTCAAAAACATTTAAACTTTTGAAAGTTTGATGCTCATAAAATGCTTTCAACTTTATAGTTCGTAGGAATAGAACATATAAATGAAAGATTTACCAAAGCATTAAAATAATTATTATGCTTAAAAATGTCCAATAGGAAGGTCAAAATCACCATTACTATCCCAAATAATCCTTTTTGTGTTGTCCTACTTCATTAACACTAATTACACCGACAATCTTTTAGAACACACTTACTTCTCAGGTAACGTTATACACAGAAGGATAGTCCATCAAAGTTGCTATTGTACAAAAGATGACAGTGATTTGAAGTGAAGACAAATGTAGATGTCACTATTTTCTCCTTCTTTAAAGACTTTCAATCGAAAAATACCCCTGAGAAATATTCAGCAAGAAATGCTCTACAAACCACAATTTTCTGCTACCAAGTGTTTCCTACTATATTACCCTCAGGTCAAAATTCTGCTGTAATAAATAGTTTACCAAGACAAAGTTAATTATGTAGAAAATTCTCCACAGATAACACTGTCTTATTTCTCTTGGTACCAGCCAACCAAAAAAAGAACATTTATTTGGTGATGTACAACCCCAGATCTTTATTCCCTTTTTCACTCTTTTATTTAAAAGTAAAGTTTTAGCTTTAACACATTAAATGCCTATTTTTGGCCTGAGATAATAATGACTACTTTGAAATATGTAGCTTCAATTCAAATGAAAAAGAAATCAACATGTTATTTAAATTAATTTTTAAATATTAAGTTTTGGTTTTAGATACTGGTATGTATCCGGGGTTGGTACCGGGTGCATACATGCCTAAGCAATGATAGGCAAAAACTGCTTGAAATCAACCTAAATTACCATGGTAGTACTTTACTATTTTAACGGAACAATGTTAGACAACCTCATTTTTGTCATATAAACTTCAACACATTAATATTAGGCAAACTCTGAATCAGTGTCTGATGTGAATCATTGAAGACTAGAATTCAAAACTAACCCACTAAGCAGTTTTACAGAATTTTTGATTGCTATGAAGAAAATGACATTTTTGCTGCAAATGAAATTTCCAAAACTTCAATTAACCCGTATCATCTCAAGATGTATTCTCTGGTGAGGCATAGGAATAGTAAGCAATCAAACGATTTTACTGCCATTCTTCCTACAGATGTACAGTATAGTTAAGCAGAGCTTCTTCATGCAATAAAATATATTCCCAAATAGATGAATATCATTAGAAAAGTTTTCTTCCTTTCCACTCACACCAGCCAAGAAAGAGGAACTTTAGGTTTTCTGCAATATTAAAAATTCCCACGTTTAGAGCAAATGTGATTTATGAAGTCCTAATCTTAGGAAACATTTTATAATTTTATTCCCATCTTGTAAGCCAATTGTGTTTATTAGAATGGTAAAAACATTAAAAATTAAGTCAAATTTAATAGTACACTGTTACACAAGGTTTATATTTTTGTTATTGTTCATATATGATAAAATAGCTAGAGTTGCCAAGTAAGAATATTTATTTGTGTTACTTATAATTTCTGGTGTTTATGAAGTAACACAGGCACAGCCTGGAGAATATATCATACTGGTGAATAATAGAGGAGATCCTTTTCAGAAACAGATTTTATAGTTCTACTGTAATATTTCACCATTCATATGCACTTACAAGAACGTATTTTTCAGTGTTTGTCTTGAAGCTGAAAGTAGAAGTTGAGGCATTTTGCCAACGTGTCTAATTTATAACAGAAATGTAATGCAAATTTCTTATAGTTCCCCAAATGACACCAATAACTTCTCCTTCAGTCTCTTTTGCATTTAGCCAACATTTTATGAAATCACAACATAGACAAGACTTCATAATCACCTTTCAGATAGAATCAGAAAGAAACATCACAATAATCCTTTCTTTTTTAAGCCTGTAATGATTATGTAGGTAATAACAGAATCACATAAAATACTATTAACCGTGTCTTACCTCTATCACTGAAGTCATCCACTAGAATGATTTCTGCTATCAGACTCTCTGGGGTTCGGTTAATTATACTGTGTATGGTACGCAGGAGTGAAGTCCAACCTTCGTTATGAAATGGGATGATGATGCTGGTGTTTGGCAGCCTTTCCAGGTACATCTTGTGCTTACAACTGGAGATGATAGAGGAAGAAAAAAGCTATGTCAAATGCAAACCTTTAGTATATCTTTGACTACTCTTTACTCATTGTGTATCAGACAGCTGTGAAAACTAGACTTTGTCTGATACTTTCCCAATCAGAGCTCGTGCATCATAATAGTGACTCTACTCATTCATGGAATTCATTAATGATCTCTTTTCACATTCACTCGTAATGAAATAATTATTTACCCTCTTTTGCATCAGAGGCTCAAATACGAGGTAAGAAGTGTGTTGAAATATTGTGTTCTTGTTGAAGTACATTTCTCTTACTTTATCTAATAGTAATAAGGATAAGTTTTATGCATTAAAATTGTCTCCATTGAAGACGTGGTTAAGGTTTAGACGGGTTTCCTGGAAAGTTTTGGAAATTCAACTTCTATAATAATTATGCTTAATTAATCAATCTTGGTTGTGGTATGTTTCAATGGCTGGGCAGCATTTAAAGCTCTAGGGGGGGAAAATGACAGTCTTAGAATGAAACACATGAAGATTTAATCTTCAGTACTCATACACTGATACAACCACATAATAAGATTATGTTAAGATCCAAACCAAGGCAGTATTACATTTCTAATGGAAATTATAAAAAATCTCATGCTGCTTTTCTCATTGTAAAACAATATGAAATGCCAAAAAGGAAGTAGACTTTAACTTTTAGCTTAGTTAAAAGCAATTTACTACATGTAATTGCTATTTTTTGCATATTTATGATTTATGTAATTAATTTGTAAGCCACATGAGGGCAGGAACCCGGTCTCAAATCTCATTTAATTTCTAACTCAGCATTGACTGTAGTTGTCCAAGCTTTATTGAAGATGAAGAATTCATTATAAGTTTGTGAAATCGTTGAGTTACTTCAAAACTGAAAAAGGGTAAAATTTCAAACAATTAGCAAATTCAATGAATTTCCTGACACTCTGTTTCCAAGATAACCTGAAACAAAAAAGAGAGTAGAAATCTAGAAACAGACACAATTTCTCTTTAAACCATCTGATTTAATTCTATTTAAAAGATCTTCATCTTTTGCTGGGACACAGACTACTATTTAGTCTAGATGAGGAAACAAACCATATCATGATTTTGAAGTAAGCATAGATTCTACCAAGATGTATAAAAATGTACCAATATTCAAAACATTACTTAAAATATGTTTTTTTTTTCCCAGTCTTTTCGACACTTCATTTTACTATGATCTCAACAGGATGTATTAAATATTGCTGTGATCTAAAACAAGAGACAGTACCTGACAGCTTGGGAAAGTATGACACACGATAATTAAAGGCAAAAAATTAACTATTTAGGAGATGAAAGAAAATTAAATATTTTAGACAAATAATTTAAATATACAAAGATAAACATTTCCTTTTTTATCCTATCCCTTTATTATCAATCATTTAAACTCTGAATTTAATATTTGTAAATATTTATAAAACAAGTAGATTTTGATTACAATGGCAAGAGTTGGAAAATCCATCAATATGATACTATGAAACAGGCATTAAATGCTGGAAAAAACCTGAAGTTCATTTTAGACTACCATAAAATGATTAAAAAAAAAGGTAATGGATGAAACATCTGTCAGTGATTTCGAAGGAAGTGTAGAGAGACAGATGCTTTCAAATATAGTGCACAAATCTGGAAAAGTGCTAAAATAGTTCAATACACCTTGTCCTAATTATGTAAAACCATACATTCTTCCAAAGGAAGCCAAAGGCTCAAGATAAGTGTGCTTCTCTATATCAATATTCAGGAAAATTGCACCTACTTGTGCAAACCACCAGATTTAACAATGCTCTTGGAATGCAACTGATATTCCCAAGAAGGGAAATTATTTTTGAAATGTTAAGATGAGACATTGCATGTCACTTGCTTATTAATTTAAGTAAAAATTGCATTCAGAGTAATATCCTCTAAGCATTCAATAGGCTTACGACTTTAAAGTGATGTTTAATAGCTATATACCATCCACTCAGAAAAAAGGCAGACACTAGAGGATGTAAGAATGACCATATGCAAATAAGGCTTTCCCTTGCAAAAATGTTTTCAAAAATTTCCACCTATGTGAGCTCACATTATTACCACACACAAGTAAAAGGATCCCTTCTGCTTATTCATTCCTTCAAATCACAATCATTTACTACAGGTTTGATAGAAGCCGGGATCCAAATGGACGTAAAACGATGAGAAAAACCTGGTCCCCGACTTTAAGACATTTACAGTAAAATAGGAGATACAGAATGGCAAACAGACAGTTAAAATTTTAAAGTGAAATTGCTGGTGTAGAAGTTTAATAGGGTGCTATAGGAGTATTTAAGAGAGGCGCCTCAACCAATTTGGAAAGTGTTGAAGAAATTCAAGAAAGAGTTGAAGGTGTCCTGCAAAAGACAAGTTCAAGATATATTTAGGAATCAAATTGAAATGACATGATAAATGTCTGGGAGATGTGGTTAAGGAAGACTCCCATGTTTTGGACATGGGCAACTGATCTTATGAAATGCAGAATGATATAGGAGCTCAATGTGTGATGGGCCTATTTGAGGGCTGCAAGAGTTGAGCATGAAGATGAGCTCAATTTTGACCACATTAAGGTTCAAGTGACAAAATGATATCCAGTTGAACAGAGCAATCGTATATGCGATATACACATCTATCTGTCTATTTACATATGTATCTATGAGTTTGCATGTGTGTAACTCAAGGTAAAGACCTGCTTTATAAGGGGAACAGGCTTATGAGTTATAGACTCTAGCGGATGATGCTGGTGCACCGCCAATATCCCCTTAGCATTTGCCACCCCAGTATAAGCCAAGAGGATCCTACTATAAGTGTCTACAGATAGCCAACGGAATGCTTTCTCTCACCTCTGAACAGAGGCAGATTAGAAGTTCTGGAGGAAATTAACGCCCCAGGAGCAAGTATCAAACAATGAAGGATGGAAGTTGGAGAATGAACAGTCCTACTATGGGATACGCTGAAGTGTTTTCCATATTGTCTCCCAGAGTTTTCTAGAAATGTTGAGCCTCAGTTGCCCGCAGGGATAAGCATCATGACAACGCACATTTTACTGGCTACTTTTCCTTCCCTGTCTTACTTCTTCACTTCACCTCCCGAGGCATTTTCTGTGATTTCTCCTCAAAACTATTACAGTCAAATTTTTGTCTCAGGGTCTGCCTCTAGGGGAACCAGATCTTAGACATAGCCATATAAATTATATTGCACTTGGCGAGAACAGTCTCTTGAACACAAAGTAATTCTTTACTCTTTCTTTCAACTTTTTAATTATTACTGATGCTATGTTCAGAGTCTATGCCGATGAAATACAAATATGAAATATGAAATATGCCGTCTCTCAAATGACATATTGCTTTCTGCTTACAACTGGTTGTTCAGAATCAGTCGCACAGCTCAAGGACCCAGGAAGTGCAATCTTACATGGTATCAGGACTTTACACAGTGTACGTGTAAAAATGACCTTATCCTATTTAGTAGACTATTAGTAGTAAAGTTATCTTCTTTACGTAAATGTCAGTAATTTATTTTTTCGACCAGACCACATTGAAAACTCACGAATATCCTGTGCTGATAATTATTTCTGAAATATTGAAAAATCACATTTTATATATCAGACTATCTAGGTTCAAAGGATAGTTTTGTCACTTAGTACCTTTGTAACAATGAGCAAGTTATTGAACTTCTATAAGACTAGTTCTCTCTGGTGGGGCAATGGAGAGGTAAAAAGCAAGAACAAAAAGCCTTCTTCATAATGTGTTAATGAGAAGTCAATTAGATAGCCCATGGAAAGCACTTAGTACTCTACTAAGTCTGATAATAGCAATGGTTTGATAAATACTATCATTGTTGTTGCTGTTATTGTCGTTGTTTTAATTGTCATTATTTTATGTGTTAAGTCCTCTTTGGAAGGGAGATAGGGAACTGGGAGAGACAGGCACTGAAGGAGGGAAAGTGAGAGACAGTTAGATACAAAGATGAATAAATTACTGTTTCTTCCCTTAAGGATTCACAGACCAGTGGACAGATATATAAAATGATTAGACTCAAATGAGACAAGTGACATAATAGATGGCACACAAGCAATGAAAGCCAGAAGGAAGTATGACTAAGTTTGTCTGAACGAATTAGGGAACTCTTACAGATGAGTCTGTATGTTGAGAACAGATCATGTAGACTTTTGAAAACAACTCTGAGGAATTTGGACATTAGCCTGCAGTCAACATGAAGTATTCCACGTATTGTTAGCGATGAGTTAGATGGAATCATGTTTACGTATTCCTCTGGCAGCAGGGCAGATAATGCATTTAAGACAGTGAGGATTGGAGGCAGAAAGATTAGAGATCGGAATAGTTTTGGTAAAAAATAATGAGAGTGTTGATCTGATTTTTTACTCTAACGAAAACCAGCCTCTTTGTGACAGTGTTTAGTTTGATTGAATTGTATTTAATCTTTCCAGCACTTAACCTGCTCTAAAGAAAATTGAATTAATTCCCAAAGTCAGCCATTGGATTCACGAAGTTGTGGTCCAGATGACTGCTTCTCAGCATTACTAGAAACACTGAAGCATATCTGCAACCTGTGTATTTTAGGTTTGATCTCAAGTCAGGTTGAGAATGGAAATTTTTTAAATATGAAGACAGTGTAGCAATATGCAACTGTGCTGAAGAAGTAAGTAAAATAAAGTCAAACATAATTTATATGCTTATGGTTACAGATATGTAGCAAATTTACAAAGAGAAAATAGGGACAAATTAAAACATTGGTGGCCTTAAGTTTATAGGAATACAAATGAAAATGCCTGTAATTATTGCGCTTCATATTACTGCATTATTTTAAAATAAGTATTTGTATAAAATTAACTTAGAATTTAGGAATGCTTCAGAGAAGAACACATTTCTTTGTTAAGTAACAATTTCTCTAAATAGATGGGGAAAACATTCTTCAAATTTTAATTCCACC